TAGTCCCAATGTACATACATAGCTTGTAGCTTTAAATCCCTTGATTGTACTTATGTCTAGTCCCAATGTACATACATAGCTTGTAGCTTTAAATCCCTTGATTGTACTTATGTCTAGTCCCAATGTACATACATAGCTTGTAGCTTTAAATCCCTTGATTGTACTTATGTCGAGTCAAGATTTACAAAATAAATAGATATATATTGTTACTTAGTAAAAATCTAGTGAATTTCTTTAAATATTTCACAAGTCAAAATATTTTTTTATTTCTTCAAAGCTCCTGCGACGTACAAAACAACACTTGAGATGACTTTATTTCGGACACTAATGGTACGTGTTAACAATACATAATCGTGTTGTTAAAAGAATTTTCATACATTTAACATTAAATAATGGCACTGATAGAAATCTATACACCTGTTATTTACAAAATGCTTTTGATATTAGTTTTAAAAAAATTATTCAATACTTCTGTAAGTTTACGAATTTACACTCGGTAGGGTTCGGTGGTGAGAGTAAAGTTATACCATTATGTAACTTTGCATCAGGAAAACTAGAACAACATTATTCAACTGAATTAAACCACTAGAGATAATACGAAGTAGAATGGATTTCCAGAGTCGTTGTTTATAAAAGTTAAGTGGAAATATTTATTTGCTTCGTATATTAGCTGAAACGTTTCGATTTTCAATTGTCTGAACTGATCTTGGAAAAGTAACGCAAGCATTAAAACTGGCAGGATGTAAGACCTTACCTGTCTGCCTTGCCATGTACGTTACAAAGTTAAGTTTGCTGCAAGCCGTGTTATTATGTGATAAACTCTAAAATATTAAGTGTTGAGGAATTCCACTATATGAAATGTTCACTTCCTTTTAAATACATTGAGAAGACAAGTAAATGATTCAATATATCTAAACTACTTTAAGTACATAACATGGACAAGTTCATGTTGGTTTGTACACGTATTTCAGAATACGCGTAGAGGAGTATTATTTTTTAAGTCCCTTGGTAAGTCTTCGGATTTACAATACTAAAATCAGGGGTTCTATTCCCCTCGGTGAACACAGCAGATAGCCCGATGTGGCTTTGTTATAAGAAAACACACACACACGTTATTTTTTACCGAAGACTGTATAAGTGTATTTTACTGATAATCTTAAAATACTTTTTAATGGCTTTGATATGACATATCACTTAGAGCACGTAATTACACGATCGACATAATGTTACGATTACGTTACTTACCCATTAGTTTCTAAGACGAACATTCCAGAAAGAACTATTTTACCTATTCCCTTACACGTAACTACACAATCGACATCATGTTACGATTACGTTACTTACCCATTAGTTTCTAAAACGAACATTCCAGAAAGAATTATTTTACCTATTCCCTTACACGTAATTACACAATCGACATCATGTTACGATTACGTTACTTACCCATTAGTTTCTAAAACGAACATTCCAGAAAGAATTATTTTACCTATTCCCTTACACGTAATTACACAATCGACATCATGTTACGATTACGTTACTTACCCATTAGTTTCTAAAACGAACATTCCAGAAAGA